TGTGTGTGTGTGTGTGTGTGTGTGTGTGTGTGTGTGTGTGTGTGTGTGTGTGTGGTTTGTGGTGTGTAGCTGTGTATCTCATCTACCAGGGGAACATCAGAGGCATTGAGATCCCGTGGGAGCTTGTAGATCCCTGGTGGTAATTGACAAAGAAAGCCAGCAAACACGGACAGCGGCTCGAGGTGTGTCATCGTCACACGTGAAGCTGCTTCTGTCTCCTGCTGACTCTGACCGCTGCGCTGAGTGTGTTTCTCGCTCACACACGCGCGCCCGCGCACGAACACACGTACAGGCCTCCAGCTGTTTGTTATGTAATGATCCAGTGATCGTGATCCAGTTTCTCATTTAAATAATCCACCTCTTCCTCTCCTGGCACGGTCCTTGGTCGGCACACACATACACAGAGCTGAAAATTGGAAATTTGCAAGCGCCCTCTTCTTTAATTAAACGCCTCTCAATCTGCAGAGCACGCGCACGCACACGTGGATGCGCCTAATTACACAGTTTCAGACAAAAGCTGGATTCGACAACAGGCTAGCCCGTAATATGGAAGATATGAAATTTGTTTTGGCTTGAAGTTGATACAGCCGAATAAGTCAGGTTAACGCGAGAGGTTTGAAATTATGGGCTATAGAGCTACTTTTTGAAAAGCCACTAGGCTATGTATATAGGCATCTGGAGCGTTTTGGCGCACACGCATACATGCAAACAATCAAAGGTTCTAATATTTTCTACTCACTCGGATTTCCTGGCCAGGGCCAGAGACCGACAAAGGGTTGTTGGGGTCATCGGAACCAAAGAGCGGCAGCTGTGGCAACTTCCACCGTTTTCGGACTCACTTTCAACCGGCGAAATTGTGGATGGCTCGGCTGGGACCAGCTGCATGTCTCCTGGGTCCATAGGTTGGGTGGGAGAGGACTGGACAGCCGGAGCCGCCTCGACTTGTGCTGGTGAAGCCGCATCTGGCAAAGACCCCGGACTAGTCTTGAGCGGGGGGTCCTGTGGATGGTGGTGGTGATGATGAAGGCAGCTGGGGTCGGGGTGGTGATGGTGGTGATGGTGGTGATAAGGATGCTGTTGTTGTATCCTGACGTCCCGCAGGTGTCTGTTCTCGCCGATCAGCTCATCTACCCTCCGGTCCAGCTCTTCTATTCTTGCACGCTGGGTCTGGATGAGACTCTGCTGATTCTGGACGATGGTGGTAAGCTCCCGCAGGTACAGAATCGCCTGCACCGGGTTTTCTAGCAGGCTGGAGCTCATCATACGCTACCCACAGCAAGAGGAAGGAAGAGAAAGAGAGAGAGGGGGGAAAGAACCTGGACGCGCGGATGGAGGACAGAGGAGATGCAAAACAGCCTATTTGTGAGTGCGGATGAGAAGGTGGCGTGGGATGTCCTTCCGCTCTCCTCTCCTTGATTCTGTTCGGCTGTGGATGAGGCTACGCCGACCAAGTCAGTCTCCACTTCTCCAGTCGTTTACTCCCTCCCTCACTCTCTCTCACTCGCTCTCGCTCTCTCTCAAACACACACATACACTGCGCTGAGTGGTGCTGATGAGAGCAGCCAGCTCCAGATGTGACAGCAGGGAGGAGGGGAGGTGCTCGAGGATGGATGCGTCACTGCACGCACAGACACGAGCACGGTCCTAGCACGCGCCCTATAGGTAGCTACAAGGAGTTCTACGGAGCATCTTTAGTTTGTGGACTAGTATATGAAGCTGATTTATTGCACACAAAATCCTTTTTTCTTTTAAATCTAAGAATTTGGTTAAACAATCGCAAGGCGGTGTATTTGTGTAGCATGTGCATCTTACGATGCATCTTGCCCCTGAGCTTTGTATGTATT